CACTTGGTATTTTGCATTTTTTTCATATTTTTTTTTATTTCGAAAAAAAAGGAGGAAATTTTTTTTTTTTTAAAAAAACGAAAAAAAAAAAAAAATTTATAATTTTGATGGTGGTTTCTTTTTTTGATTTTTTGATTTTTAGTGTATCAAAGAAAAATAAAGGATTCAAAAAAAAAAAAGCAATAAAATAAGCAAAATGGGTAAGTATGAGACTATAAATGATATAATACGTTTTTTAAAAAATTAGATAGATATTTATCATAAAATAAACTTTTTTTCACAAAATCATTTGTTTTATTATTATTTTTTTTTTGTCTTGTGGAAATCAAAAATTTTATTAAATTATTATTATTATTTTACTAACATTTTTTTGTATATCTGTTTTGAAAATTTTATTAAATTATTATTATTATATTATTATTATGATTTTTTAGATAACCAAATTTACAATAAAAAAAAAAAAAGAAATAATTCATTAAGATCTGCTACTGGCTGATTGTAAGAGAACTAAAATTATAAAAAAATAATAATAAAATATAAAAAAATATATCTAAAATATAAATAAAAATAAACAAAATATATAAATTAAAAAATTATTAAAAAAAATGAACAATATGAATATAATATATATATATATTATATTTGGTATTTTAGAACATTGATGATACATTAAGAGTCATTGTAAACGGAATTTTCATCATACTATAACGTGCCAAATGAGCGGGAAAAGGAGGCAATTCTTTAGATATAAGTGATTTAGGAGATTTAGGAGATTTTGGAGATCTAGGGGAAGTTGGAGTTATAGAACGGGAACGTGATTTTGATATTTCCGGTAATGAAGAAATTAAAGGTAATAATGAAGCTTTTGAATTTTGAGAATCCAAAAGAGGGGAAGGAGGAGAAGGAGAGGGAGAAAGAGAGGGAGAAAGAGAGGGAGAAAGATGACGAGAATTGGGAGTAAGAGGAGGAGGATAAGATCTGGGAGCAAAAGGAGGAGTAGTAGAAGTCGGAGTAAAAGGAGGGGTGGAAGAAGTGGGAGTAAAAGGAGTGGGAGTAAAAGGAATAGGAGAAATCGTAATAGGAGATTTTGTTTTTTGTCTTAATGGTGGTCGAGGAATTTCATATTTTTCTTTTCTTCTTTGAATTTCGGCATTAACTTTTTGAACTAATTCATCTGATTCTAATATTCTTTGTATAGGTAAAACTTTAATGTTACTGCTGCTGCTGCTGCTGTTGTTGTTGTTGTTGTTGTTGTTGTTGTTGTTGTTATTATTGTTGTTGGGTATGATATTGATATTTTCTAATTTTTTCTTTTCTTTTTCAATCTTTTTTTCCTTTCTTGTTTCTATTTTTACATTTACACCTTTTCTGGATAATCGACGTCTTGGTAATTTAGATTGAGAAGAAGATGACGGTAAAGATGAAAATCGTACTTTAGTAATACTACTGGTAGTAGTATTTTTCGATAAATTGGTTGAACCTGCACCAACAAGTGATATCGATAAGCTTTGTTCTAATAAACGTTGTCGAAATATTTGAGATGTACGTTTTCCATCTTTTGGTAAAGAAGTAATCGTTATTGATCCTCTTTTCCTTATTGATTTTGAACGAGATAATCTTCTTCTTGAATAATCATTACCAATGTTATTGATGTTATTAATGTTATTGATGTTATTGATGTTATTGATGTTATTGATGTTATTGATGTTATTGATGTTATTGATTTTATTACTATTGATGCTATTGTTGTTAGTGATTGTTATTGATCCTCTTTTCCTTATTGATTTTGAACGAGATAATCTTCTTCTTGAATAATGATTAACAATGTTATTGACGTTATTACTATTGATTCTGTTGTTATTAGTGTTCTGTTTAATTTCATTAGATTTATATTTTTTATATTGAGCTAAAGGTATAAGAGAAGCGTGAATTAATTTTGGTGATGTAACAAATTCAGGTATCCATTTTCCAACTGGAATCCTCTTGTTATCATTATTGGTTGTTGTTGATTTATCTTCCATGTCAGTAGGATCATTTAAATTTTCAGGATTTGTTGTCATTGAATTTGTCATAATAACATTTGAATAATTACAATATATTGGATTATCTAAAATATTTTTATCAATCGTGAAATTTTGTCTCGGTATTTGAAATTTATTATTTTTCACAATATGAATTGGTCGAGGAATTTTACTGGGATGTTTTTTATTATTATTATTATTATTATTATTATTGTTATTATTATCATTATTTTTATTGCTTTTATTGTTATTATTATTTTTATAATTATTATTAATTTCAATTGTTTCAATCGTTCGTACAGAGGTAACAGATATTCCATCCCAAAACGAATCCTCCAACATAGGCGCTCTATTTTTTTGATTGATCTATTTTATTTTTGGATGGAACTACTTTAGGTTTATTTTTATTTTTTAAAGATATTTTTGATTGATAACGAGTAGGTAAATGAGTAGACAAATGAGTAGAATGGGTAGAATGGGTAGATGAATGAAATGAATATGAAGGATGTGAATGAGAAGGATATAATGAAGAAGGATATGAAGCAAGTGAATGATGATGGTGATGAGAAGGAGAAGGAGGAGGGATATGTGATATTCTAGAGGAGGAGAAAAAGGGAGGGTTCGATATTGAATCTCCTTGAAGATTTTTAAATCCTAATTTATCGTAATCATGCCAATTTAAATTATAAGTGCCATATCTTCGAGATGCGAGTAAATCCGTCTTATTTATTCTGGGATTTCCTTTGTTATGATCAGATGATGATGACGTTAGATTGGCAGATACATTAGAATAATATCCTCGGGAAAGAGATCGTGTCATATTGAGAAATATGCAATTACTTGTATCGAAAGGAAAATAAAATAATATTTAGATTTAATATAATATTTTATTTATCTTGTTATTATATATACTTTAGTATTAACTTATTTACCTTTATAAAGAATGTAAAGAGTATGTAAAGAATGAATCTTTTAACAGCAGTTGGAGCTGTTTCTTGGGCGTTAAAAAAAATAATACCTGAGGAATATTAAATACCCTTCCTAATAAATTAATTAATAAGTTAATTCAAAGGT